TATTGAGCCGAATATCAAAAATCCGAATAATACTTTTAGAATCATTTTGCCGGACAGTATTGTTTCGTCTTATTGTAGCAGAATTTTGTTTCTTTTTTTGTTTGTATTTTTTGCTTGTTTTATTTTTATTGAAACACAGATCGCAAAAAACTTTATCACAGATGAATACTTAAGCAGTTTTTTTTTTTGGCTGACACTTATTCACGTCATATTTCTAGTACAACTGCAAAGGTAGTCACACACCATCCGTATATAGGTTCAATGTCACATTTATCTCCAATTTAAGTTAGATTGATAGCAGATACCTACTAAAGCGCGTGCGTGTAAGCCTGTGGTCACACGTAAACTGACCAACTGCTAAAATTATTTAAGAACCAGACGTTTATCAAATATTACAGCCTCTATAGAAAAACATAAGAGTAATGATGATGATTTGTAATAATGATCATTGTTTTTTGGCTCTTTGTTTTTCGTGTGACCAGAAATTTGCGTGGAAGCGTTTCATATAAATCCATTGGTTCATCCATCCGTTTTACGTTTGAACTTAGTTAGTTCTCATTGAGTCCCGCGCGAATTTTCAGATTTTGACAGCCATAACAGACAATGACAGCTTGTGAGTGACAATCATACGGCGGTGATGCCGCGTTGTGACATGATAAGCTATGATGGTAAATAAAAATATGTACCTTTATTATGTCATTGCATACAACTCTTTCCGTGAATAGTACCGGACCGGCATAATAATGCGGTGAACACTAAGAGGATGAAAAAGAAAAAAAATAAAAGAATGTTTTACAGTCTTTTTCACTTACCGTTAGCTTTTAAAACTTTAAACAAAACAACAGAGAAATGAAATTGAGTTTGTTCAGGTCATTAAAAAACTAATAAAGAAGACTGTAGCCTTTAATTATCGAATTATAAAAAGAAAGTTTATTTAGTCAACGGCAACTGATGAATCCTAAATATTTTTATAATTATTATAAAAAATAACATGTAAACTCGTCCTTACAAATTATCTTATTTGACATGATCAGCGCAAAACTTATCTGTTTCAATCATTCCGATAATTCAGATATCAAATATATCACGACACATATATCTGCAATGATAACGAAACAAACAATTTACAAACATACATATACCACGCCCATATCCCTAGCAAGGAAATTAGAGCGCAAACGGCTGTAAAAAACGGCCATTAAAACCACGTCTGACAAAAGTTTGAGAATTATTCAGATGACTGCGTATTACTATAGTGACAGTTTGCTAGCCTGTCGCTTAAAATTGCAATAAACATCAACCCTCATATCCCTTAGCCGCTTCTTACGACACCCACGGGAAAGATATGGGGTGATGCCAATTTAAGCCGGCACCACACGGCACCAATGTATCACGACACAGATATCTGCAATGATAACGAAAAAAACAATTTCTCCTATGAATATTATAATTGCAAGCAAAGGCTGAATAGCATCACCACATCTTTCCCGTGGGTGTCGTAAGAAACGACTAAGGGATTTAAGAGCTGATGTGTATTGCAATTCTTGCGGACAGGCTGACAGCCTGTCACTACGGTGATACAGTCTTCTGAATGACCCTCAATCTTTTGTCAGACATGGTGTAAATTGCCGTCTTTTACAGTCGTTTGTGCTCTGCCTCCCCGCAAGTTATATAGGCATGATATATTTATGTATGTATGTATGTAATGTAGCATAGATAAGTGCATTCTCGTACCCCAAATAGCAGAAGGAACATAACGAGCAACCAGTTGTTTTCTAGTAACAACAACTTATTGCTCGACAAAATTACAAGCAGGTTGTTATTTAAATTTAAAGTGAGCGACTCTTGATTACTTAGTAATAAAATAACCGGTTTGTTTGTGACGAGTTTTTATGGCGTCACTCTGAATGTATATAGGGTTCTCTCTTGGACTTTTTCTTGCTCTAAGACTTTTCCTATTGATATGTTACACAGGAAATCGACGCAAATTGATAATATTTTAATAGTCATGCGTATTTTTTTACAACATTCAATGGTACGCACGCCCCTCACATGCCAGTAGACATTCATTCGATAAATTATACAATAAAAATAGGTTATCACATTAATAAAATTAAAATACTTCCTTTTACTATATCTTTATTGTAAGTCAAGGTTTTTAACGATGTCACGCGTTCGTACCTTTGTTGATAATGTAAAATTTTTATTCAGTAACCTGTTGCAGCAGTGTAAACAACGAGTATGAAGCTTTGATGATCTGAAAAAAGAAACGTTACGATTCTTCAAAATAAAAACCGAGCGTTGCGGCGTCGTAGTGCGCCGTCAAAGTAACAGCGTCGTTTATAGTATGTACATAGGTATGGACACAAATTAGGGAACTGCGCGCGGGGGCGCCTAACCAGTCAGTGCTAGCGACGTTCTTGACTGATCTTGACGCTTACTGACTTTAACTGGAAATAACCGGAACTTCAGGGGAAATCAAGTTAACTAAGAAGGTGGTTGACACGAATGTCATATTTCATGGATTTTAAAATTGTCTAAGAAATAAATGACAATCTTTATCATATTTTGATATTTTTATACTTTGAGATTTTTGACAGTAGCAGCCATGGCTGTGTTACAAATGCCAATCGCGAAAATCCGACATAGGGCCGTCGTAAACCTTCTGTAAACTCTCTATTTTGTGGTATGTAGGATGCGCCGCGGCGTGCCGCCCGGTGATTCTGGCATCCCCATACAAACCAGCAATTTTGACGGCGCATCTCGAACAATTTTACAGACATAAGTCTTTACACGTCTATTGGCGTGTATTCTTAATATGTCTTCTAGCACGGGTTTGACAGCAGTGAAATATAAATATGGCCTATTCGAACGGGCATACTTTATGTCTTTATGTAGCTTGTATGTGAAACATACTTATGTCAAAAATCTATATTATATATAACATAGTAGAGTCGTGCGACGTGTGAGTGTTTGAATATGATATCAAAGATATTCCGCGCAAGTTCTCATATCCCATACAATCTTTACCGCGAGTTTTACGTAATTTGCAACTTTATAACTTTAAGTAGGTGAGGTTCCAACTCATGTTCCTTGAGAAAGTTTTCAGATGCTTGAGCTGGTACCGCCCTAAAAGGAAACTGGGATCTTCGTGCGGGTCATGATGACGAGGATTATCTTTCGAAGCCTCACTGAGCAGGCGTACCAGAAGCACTTGTGAATATTGGGCTAAATGAATCCCTCAGGAACGGAGTACCTACTTTTCCTAGCACATCGTACACCAAAAGCAGAAAATAAAATAATAAATACAAATAATTCAGAAGTAAACTAGTCAGTAAAATTGAAGAACTATCCCCAAGGAATACCTATAAAGCGAAATGTTACAAAATTAGACCTCCCATACAAAATGGGCAGGCAGGTCCCGAGTAACTTACAGTCATAAATGAGCCAAGAGACAGGGTGGTGAATCCCCCAGCTGTGATCTTGGTAACCCTGCGGGTGCGGGTCATGATCACGAGGATCATCTTTCGAAGCCTCGCCGAGCAGGCATTTTAGGAACCTTTGTAACTGGTATCCCTATCAAAGGAACTCAGTATTTTTTTAACATACTGCAGAGTAACTTACAGCCATAAATGAGCCAAGCGACAGGGTGGTGAATCCCCCGGCTGTGATCTTGGTGACCCTGCGGGTGCGGGTCATGATGACGAGAATCATCTTCCGAAGCCTCACTGAGCAGGCGTACCAGGGGCACTTGTAAGCGTAGCCTGCCACGTCGGCGCTCTACAAATAGAAAGTAATTTTAACTGTATCTTTTCTCATCATAACCTAATTGAATCTTTTATCATCATAACTTTCCAATCACAGAGATCGAAAGCTTGAAAAAGACAGCCAGGACACAATCTCAAAAGGAATTCTTACAAAAGAGACTTCATCAGGGTTTATGCCGTATCTTTACTGCTGGAAAAACTTCATATGCGATACGATAGGATGGGCGTATTTTTTTTTTCTTTCGCTAATGACGTACTGATCTTGGCTTGCCTGATTCAGGCAGAAAAAAGGGGAAAATATGGCTGATAGAAAATAGAGCAAGCTCGCACAGATTTTCAATATAAGCATTTCTACAAAGTGCCTCAATACAACTAGTTGTTTGCCATCGGATCACAGTTTTTTAACCAGTAGTCATACATACCTCTTCAGAAAGGTGATGTCCTTGGTAGCAATAGATGAAAACTTGAAACATCATATTCAGCAGATAAGTTCCCATTGAAAACAGGCGGACCAGATTTCCAGTTTGCTAAAACAAAACCTTTCTTTTAAAGTTGAATTGCTTCAAGAAACTCACAGAAATAATAAAATCTTACAAAAATTAGCAGTAACCTCAGCTAGAAACTTTCAGAAATTGACTAGATACGTACAGTAATGAATCTACGTAGGAACAGTACAGTGACAGAAAATATGAGAGGGAACCGTTTATCTTGGTACGGGCATCGGCATGTAAGGAAGAGAGGGAGAGAGAGGAAGTCCTAAAAAGTTTCAATGAATTGTATAAAAGACGACATGTAAAATAAAGAGAGTGAAGATTTGACTGCTGATAGAGATGAATGGAAGAAAAATATATGTTGCGCCGACCTCAAATAAATTGGGATAAGGGCAGACACAGTACATTGGGGCAGGCACCCAAATAAATTGGGAACAGGGACAGTAATAATGAATGAGCCAGAAACTTACAGAAATGAGCTGAAATGCCGTGACACAGATGATGACCAGCGACACGAAGAACTGAAAGAAGGTGGGTGCCGAGAAGCAGCTCTGTAAGAAAGTTAGAGAATCATTAGGTACTCCATACAATAAAATGTAATTCAACAATGAACTCTTGTTAGTTCGTAACTGAAAACGATCACTGCTTAATAAGAGTAGTCATGAAAATAAGATGTAAGTATAAGAGCTGTATGATCGTCTAGATCGTCGCCTAGATACGAGCATCAAGATCATCGATCGGTGCATCGATAGCTCAGTGGCAGAACGGTGGGGCGTTGTCCCATGCGGCCCGGGATCGAGCCCCGATCGAAGCATAACATTTTTTCAATTTCTTATCTTCATTAATGAGAATAATATAGCAAGTTACACTTTGTGTTGATGGTTCTTGATGGAACTCCATGTTAGTTTTAGTAATTAAACACTTTTTACACTAGTTCCACTTATATATTTGTTTAATCTTAATAATTAAACGGAATGCGACCGGTTTCGTACATCATCATCGGGCGATTATTTAAAATCGAAACAAAACAATATAATATTATTAAAAATGTCGGTATTACAATATTTCCATGTTGCGGTTCAGTGGAGAATTAGTCAAAATTAAAATGTCTAGTTTTCTGTCAAATGTTGCGGAATAATAAATTGATGTCAATAAAATATACAATAATATAAAATGAAATTTATAATAATTATAAATTAAATGTCAAAATAATAAAATTAATAATAATTAAGTACCTAATGTACATTAATGTCAATTGAAATAATTAAGAATTGGTGAGTTAGAAAAACATGTCTGGTCATTAAGGATATTGAATTTTGTTTTGTGTCTGTTTATTTCTATGGCTTCTAGTGTGTCCATTTTTCGGCCTTTAGAAGCTATATGTAAGTACTTAACATTTTTTGTGTCGTCAAAAGTGTGGTCATTTTCATTTAAGTGTTCTGCAAATGTCAAAAATTTCCATGCATTCATTCATCGGCTCGTTAAGGTTCCCATGAACAATAGTGACTTCCAGGAAGAACTAAACACCATTCGACAGATCGCAAGAAATAATGGATACACGGACACGCTTATAAACAATATCCTCAAGCGAAAACAGAAACGAGAAGCGGAAAAACTATTATACAGCACGACCCAACCTGAAACAGAGACCCCAAAACGATGGGTTAAAATACCATATATAGGACCTATATCACAAAAATTTAAGAGACTTTTAGACAATGACAAAAGAAAAACAGCATTCTATAGCACCAAGAGCCTAAAATCCATGATATGCAACAATAAGGATAAAATTTCTGTCGAACATCAGAGCGGTATTTACAGTCTCACTTGTGACACATGCGATAGCATATACATAGGCCAGACTGGAAGAAAATTTAAAACCAGAATTAAGGAACATGTCTCCAGCTGGAAGAAAAAGAACACAACGTCAACATTTGCAGAACACTTAAATGAAAATGACCACACTTTTGACGACACAAAAAATGTTAAGTACTTACATATAGCTTCTAAAGGCCGAAAAATGGACACACTAGAAGCCATAGAAATAAACAGACACAAAACAAAATTCAATATCCTTAATGACCAGACATGTTTTTCTAACTCACCAATTCTTAATTATTTCAATTGACATTAATGTACATTAGGTACTTAATTATTATTAATTTTATTATTTTGACATTTAATTTATAATTATTATAAATTTCATTTTATATTATTGTATATTTTATTGACATCAATTTATTATTCCGCAACATTTGACAGAAAACTAGACATTTTAATTTTGACTAATTCTCCACTGAACCGCAACATGGAAATATTGTAATACCGACATTTTTAATAATATTATATTGTTTTGTTTCGATTTTAAATAATCGCCCGATGATGATGTACGAAACCGGTCGCATTCCGTTTAATTATTAAGATTAAACAAATATATAAGTGGAACTAGTGTAAAAAGTGTTTAATTACTAAAAATAATATAGCACTGTAAATGCATTAAATCCTAATAAAGATTAATCAATTCCAGACTAACTAATATTTTACCTGTATTTCCTTGGCTGCCTCCAGAGCGGCCTGATGTTGCTTTACACAATTGCGCAGGCGCTCAGCCGCAATGGCCTCTTGCTCTGGAGTGTATACTAGCTGAAAATAAAGGGTAGGGTACTGTACCTAAACATGAACTGAATGTAAAAGTTATAATGATGCGCAGTAATCAACAGGAATCTGTAAGTTGAGATTGAAGAGCAATGAAAATCTTATTCTACTTATTTGTCACAAAGACGCCATCTAGGAAAAAGTTTCTCTACGAAAAGTGGTTTAGGCACAGTTTCGCTATTTAGTGGAGCGAGAAGGGACGAGAATGAAACGAGACGAGCTTACGAATAAGAACCCGGAACACCTTCCTAATACTATGGAAACATAAACAGATGGCGCTACTTTTCGTAGTAGAGCAATTTTTATTAGTGGTTCCGAATTAATAGCATTCATGTAATAGTTTATAAAATAAATACATAGGTTTGTTAACTTTTTTCGCGGATCTTCTTTCGTGCCTACTGCCTTGACTCTAGAGTAATAGAGACTATTAGAGACACGTACTAACAATCAAATTAACTTATTAGTACGGCTCCTTAGCTGGAAGTATGGTCCCATCTGGCAGAAATCATGAAACTTGGCATGTGTGTAGCTTACATGTGTAAGCTTCAGGAAAAGAAGGGAAGCAAGTTGGACCCCCCCTGCTTCCCCCCTTTAACCCCCCTTTTATGTCCCAAATTTCAGTTATCTTTATTTTTCTCGGAAACGATTAAAGATAGGAGAAATTTGTCAAGGTAAGAAATATTCCTTATAAAATTGTCTACATAATTGTCCTTAGGTCGATGTTGATAGGACTTATACTTTTCGAGTTATGCTTCTGGGAAACCCATCATTTTTTTGAAGGTGACTTCCAGTTCTGAATTAGCCATAACTACCATGTGATAGAATATTCTTTCAAACTTGCTATAGGCTGTTGTTAATTAGGTAGTCTTCAAAGGAAATCCGCAGAGACAACACTTCAATCACGCCTGTGGGGGTGGGGGGAGGGAGGCAAAGTTAATTTTTTCCGAGCTGAACTTGAGGACTTCTGACTCCTTAAGTAAATGTGACACGAGAAATTGAGTATCATTTTCGAATATATCAAAGACGGAGTATTCATTTCTGGAACGCTCTTTGGTACATTTCATACAAAAATATAAAAATATTAAGTGAAATAACAAAAAAAATATGTTTCGTTCTCATTCAAACGCTGTTTTCTTCATGACCTTGAGACATATTTACTAGATAATAACAGATACTCAAAGACATACTCACCCGAATTATAAAGCCATATTTTATTTTCGAAAATATTAGAAAATACCTAGCCTACAGAAGCCTAAATATTTTTACAAAGTTATGTTTGTAGCTGGAAAAATTTCATGTTCATAGATTTTGTATGCAAAAATAAGATTACCAACCGCAAACGTATATTTCTTAATTGTCGCTAAACCATTCCAGATAGAGAAATGCCCTCATAGGAAATGTTGTTTATATTGAAGAGTTGTTTATGCTGATATATAGAAAATAAAGATCTGGAGTACTTGATGTGGAACATCAACAGCCCAGCTAAACTATTCGAGATAACTGTAATGTCTTCTTAAACATCAAGTACTCCAGATCCTCAATTTCTTTATTCCAACAAAATCTACCCTTCAGTAGAAACAACACTCCCTATGAGGGCATTTCTCTATCTGGATTGGTTTAGCGACAATTGAGAAATATAAGTTTGCGGTTGGTAATCTTATTTTTGCATACAAAATCTATGAACATGAAATTTTTCCAGCTACAAACATAACTTTGTAAAAATATTTTGGCTTCCGTAGGCTAGGTATTTTCTAATATTTTCGAAAATAAAATATGGTTTTATAATAAGGGTGAGTATGTCTTCGAGTATGTGTTATTATCTAATAAATATGTCTCAAGTTTCAGAAGAAAACAGAGTTTGAATGAGAAAGACATATATTTTTTTTCAATTTCACTTAATATATTTATATTTTTGTATGAAATGTACCAAAAAGCGTCCCAGAAATGAATACTCCGTCCTTGGTTTATTCGAAAATGATACTCAATTTCTCGAGTCACATTTACTTAAGGAGGCAGAAGTCCTCAAGTTCAGCTCGGAAAAAATAAACTTTGCCTCCCTCCCCCCACCCCCACAGGCGTGATTGAAGTGTTGTCTCTGCGGATTTCCTTTGGTGACTACCTAACTAACAACAGCCAATAGCAAGTTTGAAAAAATATTCTATCACATGGTAGTTATGGCTAATTCAGAGCTGGAAGTCACCTTCAAAAAAATGATGGGTTTCCCAGAAGCATAACTCGAAAAGTATAAGTCCTATCAACATCGACCTAAGGACAATTATGTAGACAATTTTATAAGGAATATTTCTTACCTTGACAAATTTCTCCTATCTTAAATCCTTTTCGAGAAAAATAAAGATAACTGAAATTTGGGACATAAAAGGGGGGGTAAAGGGGGGAAGCAGGGGGGGTCCAACTCGCTTCCCTTCTTTTCCTGAAGCTTACACATGTAAGCTACACACATGCCAAGTTTCATGATTTCTGCCAGATGGGACCATACCTCCATACAAACTGCCAATTAAGAACTCGGACTATATTAGAAGATCGTTGAATTAGTTAAGGACACTAACCTTATCAGTCATTTCCAGCCCCCGACACAAGGTCCTCAGCGACAGACCCAACAGCTGCAAGCGACATCTACATTGCGCTATTAGAGCTGAAACTTCAATATTTCATTTTGTAAGTTTGGCGACTTCCTTGATTTTGATTTGGTCGAGAGTTTATACTCAACGTTTCGAGAATCACATCTCTGATCTGACGCTCCTATGAACACTGTCGTAAACTCTCGACAAAATCAAAAACAAGTAAATTGCCGAACTCACAAAACGTTTCTAAAATGAACAATATTTCACTTAAAACTGTTGAGAATATGGGGTGTAACGCTTTTCGTTACACCGTCAGTAAGCAGTTGCTAGCAAGCGTGCTCAGACCATGAAATTGAACAACTTTTCCCACGGAACATATGGTGGTAAACGAAACAAAAACTTTGATTTCCCATACAAAATCAGTCAGCAGATCGTGAATTTTGTATGGGATGTTGGAATTTCTTTTTCGTTTACCACCATTTGTTTCATTGGGAAAGTGGTCCAATTTCACTGTCTGAGCACGCCTGCAAAGTTTTGGTCACACTGTGCCTTACACCCTGTATATTTTTCTTTGATA